GCCATAAGGACACTTCGAAGCCACAAGGACACTTCGAAGCCACAAGGGCACTTCGAAGCCATAAGGCCACTTCGAAGCCACAAGGACACTTCGAAGCCACAAGGCCACTTCGAAGCCTTCAGGACACTTCGAAGCCAAAAGGCCACTTCGAGGTCTTCAGGACACTTCGAAGCCACAAGGCCACTTCGAGGCCTTCAGGACACTTCGAAGCCATAAGGCCACTTCGAGGCCTTCAGGACACTTCGAAGCCACAAGGACACTTCGAGGCCTTCAGGACACTTCGAAGCCAAAAGGCCACTTCGAGGTCTTCAGGACACTTCGAAGCCACAAGGCCACTTCGAGGCCTTCAGGACACTTCGAAGCCAAAAGGCTACTTCGAGGTCTTCAGGACACTTCGAAGCCACAAGGCCACTTCGAGGCCTTCAGAACACTTCGAAGCCATAAGGCCACTTCGAGGCCTTCAGGACACTTCGAAGCCATCAGGACACTTCGAAGCCATCAGGACACTTCGAAGTCATCCTAATTCTCACTGTTGGTTCCAACTCCGGCAACATACCAGCCCTAAAGAGGCAGGAATGATAAGTGACGGAGAGAGGCGACAGAAGAGACCACAGCTGCGTCTTGCATCCTTCTCAGACACACTCCAAGATATGCTATACACCTCAAACTACATCCAGGAGTAGGTGTAGCTACTCCTAGATGTAGTAACTATTCTTCATGCTGTAGGATAGATACGCATAGATTAAGATAGATGTTTAGGTTCTGTTGGCGATTATTTGTATTTGTAGTACGTGGGGAGAAGCATTTACAGCGTTGTGGTTCGAACACAAGTCGTCAGTGAAGCACTTGTTCGACAAATGTTCGAACGCCATCAGTTGTGAGTCGTGTGGAAATCGTTTTCACTCATAAATAGCGGGGTTTGGCGAATGGATTAATGAGCATTTTGCCTTTATTGATGAGGACGGACTGTGTCAACGCGGAGACTCGACACATCTAGACGAACTAACTCTCAGCAAACGAACTGTGAGAGCTTAACTGTCAGGGGAGCGTTCAGGAGGCATGATAGGAGACATTAGCCAGGATTCGTCAATCATTAACGCAGCCTCATACGAAACCTGTACATCTCTCCACAATCATGGCCCATTTATTTACATTTATTAAAGAGGCTATGAGTTCCGAAGCTCTACGAAGTGGTTCATATCAATAATAACTTTGGGTTGTGAAGTTGTAAAGTTATAAACTGCTTAACCCTATTACCTAGCAGTAAATAAGTACCTGGGTGTTAGTCAGCTGTCACGGGCTGCTTCCTGGGGGTGGAGGCCTGGTCGAAGACCGTGCCGCGGGGACACTAAAGCCCCGAAATCATCTCAAGATAACCTCAAGAAGATAACCCTTAAGCTGCTACAGCCTTAATGATTATAAACATAGCCGCCATGATTGCAGAATGATGAACAGGCTTCGTTAGTGATCGTGCAAGTGCTTGAATAATCCTGACTCCTCCCGAGGCTGTTCTGGCTTCCTTACAAGACAGATGAAGATTAAGCCCCCCCCCCAAGAATTGGCACGGGCATGAATAACCCGTAATTCCCTAAGATAGATATAAGAGGTACCCCTAGGGGTAAAACACCACACTCCCACCCACCTAGCATTACTCCCACCTACCTCTCTCCCACCCACCTAGCATTACTCCCACCTTCCTCACCTAGCATTACTCTCACCCACCTAGCATTACTCCCCTCACCCACCTAGCATTACTCCCACCTACCTCTCTCCCACCCACCTAGCATTACTCCCACCTGCTGCTACCCACAACAGCGTGTCTGCTCAATGTGTCACCCCAATTATCAGTGACTGACGACGCCCTTCACCCTAATTATAGAACCCTCAGGGCTGCGAGAGGTATTTAACGTGATGGTATAGTGACCTCAGAGGAAGATACAGCCCCGCTCCTGTGCCAGGTGAGTCCACTACGGGGCTCGCCATAGCCCGTGCTACTTGCAACTTTTTCTTCCCAGTAGCTGAATCTAAAACAACTGCCACCTCAGAGGGGAGGAAGAGAGAGAGAGAGAGAGAGAGAGAGAGAGAGAGAGAGAGAGAGAGAGAGAGAGAGAGAGAGAGAGAGAGAGAGAGAGAGAGAGAGAGAGAGAGAGAGAGAGAGAGTGCCAGGAGTGCCACCAACCATTCTACTTCACCTCTCACTGGCTCTCGAAACTATCTCTCCTTCGCTCTCTCAGACTTCTCTAATCCGTGATATGAAAGTGGATATTTTTAGACAGGCCTGCAGGCTGTTGATAGACAGGCCCGGCTGTCATGGACCAGCTGGCAGGCAGGCTGACAGACGTTGTAGTCGTGAGGACGGGTAGAACAAGCAGTTCCGGATGACTGACAGGTACGCAGGCTCAGAGACTGACAGACAGGCAGGCTGGCAGACTGGCAGGTAAGGATGGTGACAAACAAGTAGACTGCATCTACTGCCCAGTAGATACAGTAGATGCAGTACCAATTATCACCCACACCAACTCTTTCCTGGACGGGCTCCCCGTCTCACATAACAACAGACCAATTACACAAGCCCTGATGAACCAACTCTCGCTCATCTCCCGTCAGGTCGCTTGTAACGACCCACTGATCTACTGTCATCTTACATCCCTTACGTTCTTCCATAAATCTCCACCTTTCTATTCCAATCATGTATTCTTCAAGGTCTTTTCTGATTCTAAACTATATTTAAATCCACTGATTCGTGATGTGTATAATACCCCCTATTAATGCCCTCTTGTATAGCTACCCATAAATACCCTCTTGTTATAGCCTTTCATTTGTTTATATAATCCAATTATGTTGCTAACTCTTCTAGATATTAATCACAGTATCTATATTTATCCTAATTTTGAAGATTTTATATATTGATTTTTCTGGGGCTTTAAGATGTCTACTAATCATGACTCTCAGATCTTTGCAGCATTCAGTTTTCAGCGTTATATTCCTGATATCCGGTTACTCTTACTAAGAACTATGCTACTCTCGGAACCTTTCATCTGTCAGTATTAAACTGCGCCTTCTAACCCTGCATCTATGTTAAAAGACTATTTAATTCCTCTTGTAGCCATTCTGAGTCTTCGAAATAACCCCCTATTTTTGTATAATCTGTAAAATTGGCCGCTGATGGTGGTCACTCAATGTTTATACCACGTGTGTGTGTGTGGGAGAGGTCCCCAGACACGGCCCTGCGGCACTCCACTAACTACAGGTTCCCACTCGTGATTCAGTCCAATTAGAATATCGTGCAAGAGAATCTATGGCGGTCTCTCTCTCTCTCTCTCTCTCTCTCTCTCTCTCTCTCTCTCTCTCTCTCTCTCTCTCTCTCTCTCTCAATCTCTCTTCTCTTACCACCATTCCTTTCCCTCGTCCCATCCCAAATCCTTAAGCTGACAACTTCCAAGTTCTATATGGTCGCATTGGCTTGGCGCTTTCCCCCTGATCATTCCCTTCCCTGCCCTTCGCCTGCCTTGGTTGCTCAACCAAAACAAATCGTCAAGTGAACAGGTTGTCAACAATCGACTAACTGACGTTGTCTTACGGGTTGAAAGTTTGAGAATTTGTGAAGAACTGTCAATACTTGACAGACAGGGTTTCTTTTAATGCCAATATTGTGGGTCTCAGCTGTATACTACACATAGCTCTAATGTGTCTCGGGTGACCTGTCAAGTAGTGGGTCAAGCCACGTGTCCATCTCTCGCCAGATTCTAGATACATGTGTCCAAGATGAATTAGTTCCTATTACTGAATTTCTTTCTCAATCATTCTCCCTTCCCTCCCTCCTCCGTCTTTCTCGTTCGTAATGACTGAGGTTGTCTGGTCTAACTGCCTTGTTGTGGCCGCGGACAAGACGTGATCTTGGTCTAATCTTCATTTTCTCAATGACCTGAGGCCAGATTCACGAAGCAGTTACGCAAGTACTTACGAACGTGTACATCTTTCTTCAATCTTTGACGGCTTTGGTTACATTTATTAATCAGTTTACAAGCATGAAAACTTGCCAATCAACTGTTGTAATTGTTATAAACAGCCTCCGCGTGCTTCGGAGCTCATTAACTGTTTAATAGTTGTAAACAAAGCCGCCAAAGATTGAGAAAAGATATACAGGTTCGTAAGAGCTTGCGTGACTGCTTCGTGAATCTGGCCCCAGGTTCGTAAGTGCTTGCATAACTTCTTCGTGAATCTGGCCCCAGGTTCGTAAGTGCTTGCATAACTGCTTCATGTATCTGACCCCAAGTTCGTAAGTGCTTGCGTAGCTGCTTCGTGAATCTGGCCCCAGGTTCGTAAGTGCTTGCATAACTGCTTCGTGAATCTGGCCCCAGGTTCGTAAGTGCTTGCATAACTGCTTCGTGTATCTGACCCCAAGTTCGTAAGTGCTTGCGTAACTACTTCATGTATCTGGCCCCAGGTTCGTAAGTGCTTGCGTAACTGCTTCGTGAATCTGGCCCCAGGTTCGTAAGTGCTTGCGTAACTACTTCATGTATCTGGC